TCACAGTTTTAACAAACAGGTCATCTGGATTTGTTTGTAATCATAAAATAGTGCTGCGTCTATTAACGTCTATTAAAAGTGAATATCAGCCTAATGCCCTGATTAATGGCATAATATTTTTCACATAGAAACAAATGTTATTTCTTGCAGTACCGACTACAGAGAACCCTGGGACAGTCAACACGGCGAAGGAAGTAGATTCATGTTCAACCACAGTGTGAGGCATCAAATCATGAAGGGAACAAAAGGTGGATTTAGCACCTTTAAAGGTAGTGTTAAGAAGGTAAGATATGCCTAGATTCCTTTCGTCTAAGGCAAATTCACATTTGTATTGACAAATCCGGAACTATAAAAGGTTGGAAATGAATAATTCTGAAGCAAAAATATATTGCTAAACAGTAATCAGAAGGAAAATATGGTATTAAAAACGTTAAGAGAAATCTAATTACACCATATATTGCTGACCAAATCCGTAAATAAATACTTTAAATTGCCATTAAACCCTACAGCACAATAATAGGGGGGACATTGAGGATGCAGAACCTTATGAGGTGATTAGGCTGACTGATTGCTCATCAGTAGAGCAAAGTAATGTCAATGGAGGAGAAGAGATCTATGCAACAATATCGGTGAGTTGAGTAACAGGAAGGTATATATATATATGTGTGTGTGTGTATATATATTGAGGTAAACAGATTTTAGCTTACAAAATGTTACATATAACTGATTTGTTCTACACATTACACAACTTATTTGTTGTTAATATGCTGTATTGTGTATATTTCTTTCTAGCAGTTATAACTTGTAACCATAATGTTTATGATACTTTGAACAGGAGACTTATAATGGAGATTTGCAGAAAAGTGAAGATATTGAACAGGATGATGAGAGCCACTACCAGGACCCTGTGCAAGAACAAGCACCAGCTCCACACGAAAAATTGGACAGCCTCAGGAGGAGAACGGAGAGACAGAAAAGTGAGATGGATGATGTTTTTAATTATGTAGATGAGCTTGAGTTTAATGACGATATGCCAGAAAGGAGAGTGAAATTTGCAGATTCTGAAGATGAAGAAAATTCAAGCTTGCTAGAAAGTATGACAGCTGCCTGGAATCGCATATCCAGAGCATCACTTGCACTTGGCAGCCACATGGTAAGAATACTATGGTTTGCTGCTCATTTTGAACTAATGTAAACTTTTTTTTTTCAAGGTACTCTTAAAACCAAGAAACAAAAACAAGTACCCACATGTATTAACCCCTAACAAGAAAAGAAATTCCATCAATCACTATTATCTTAAAAAAATAAAAACAAAAAAAACTGACTCTTGTGTGACACTGACTGCCTAGTTATATTCTTGTTTCAGTCCTATATTTCTTATTTCAGGATGATATGAGCACTACACACCCCATTCCTGAAGAAGCTCCTTGGCCTGGACACCCACAATTATTATATGACGTTCCTGGACCACCAAGACCTGTTGAGAGCCACCTCTCCCATGGAAACAATGAACGAGGAGCTTCTGTTGAGAATTACCATGTTTTAACTCTTCCCCATGAAGAAGGAGAAGGCAGAGAGAGTAATGCTTGAAGTGTTCCAATCTCCAAAATGAGATTTGAGTGCAATTAGTGTATAGATTCGTGACTATATTTCTGTATATTTAATCTTTATACTGTTGAGAAAATTAATTGATTCTTTACATCATGTAATCAGAGAACGTACCAATATACTTGTGTTCTTTTATGTTATTGCACAAAAGTATTTTGTAAATTAATTTCAGTAACCGTGTATTTATTTAAAAGTACAGACTTGTCTATAATAAAGAAGCCTTGTTATGTTTGTATAAATAATAAATATAAATTTAAACAAAGGTAGAAATTCATAAATGAGTATAGGAAATGTTTAAAGTTGTGGAACTTTACAACAGCAAGTCAGATCAATATATATATGAATACTCAATTTAATTATCATGTTTGACCCTGCTGTACCAAGTATTAACAATATTCATACTTCCATATGCATTTTAAATCAAAGAAATAGCTGTGTGAATGAAATATAACTGATATTCTTATGCAGCTACTTGCAGCTACTCTATGATGTGAAATGTTTTATAAAGCACAATGTTCAGGCATGGCATATGTAACTATTCATGTTCAAAACATGTGTAGGTTTTTAAGATTTCAATAGTATATGATTTGAGAAGCCAGTGTTCTAAATATGTAATACAGTACCCAGTTGTGATAGACAAAAAATATATTAGCTTTATGTTAAACATTAATGCATTCATTCTATTATGTGTAATATGATGATGCACCAAAAAAGGATTTTATAATATAAAATACAAGTCCTCAAAAAAAAAATTGCTTTCCATGTATATTGTATAATTGCACATGTTTTATGGTGTGTTGGGATACATCTGGGTTTTCTGTTACCATGTATGTCTCAATGTTAGGATGTTTTCTTTGTTTTTCTAATTCTAGGCAATGGATTTTGTTAGCAGAGATAAAAGTTATATAATGCTTGTAAATATTTTGGTGTAGAAGTTATCTGAAAGGTGAAAAACTGAAAGCATTTTTTGCTTGTGTCTCAATAGTTAATTTTCTTTGGCATTTAAACAGAAAAAGAAAAATGTAATTTAAGAAGTTAGGTGAGCATTACCAGACAATGCACATCATAATTAATGAAGAATAATGTATTCCATTATGAGGATGACATTTGAGTTAACTTGTTTCATATAGCAAAATTACTCTAGAAAATTCCATAAATGCATAATTTGTTGTAAAAAAGTTTGATCTCTTATGGTTATAATTCCTTGTTAGAATAATTTTTCACATATGCAATAAAACATTCTTGATATAGAGCACACTTTTATCTTCAAATTTCATTTACAATACACATTTACACAATAATTACACACTTTTATGATCCTGAATCTCCAGCCATTGAAAAACAACAATCAAATACTGTCAACATTACATACAAAATGAAGAGCTTAAAATATGACACTCAATGCACAGATTTGAAAACTAACTTAGGCGGATACTAACACTGTCTGAGGTAGTGAGATATCGTACCCATTTACTGACACTGTTTAAGGCTGGATTCAACTTCACTCTTTCGACTCTGATTCCTGAACACACCCAACGGGATACCTCGAAGTCCAGTTCCCCTGAATCTATGGTAGCATTACCACCTGCATCCACCATCTGGGAAAAAGAAATCAATGACTCAATTAAAACCACTATGAATTGGAAAACGTGATTTTAAAAAGCTAACTTCTAACTGCTGAAATTGAATGGATTATGAAATAGATTCAGGTATTAACAAAATAAATGTTTACCCTTATGAAAGCTTGTGCATAGCTGCCGCCTGGAAACTGTGATATTGTCCATGTAATAGTCTTATCTTCTGGGGAGAACTTGATATTTTGGTCTTTTGGGCCTGAAGTCCTGGACATGATTGCTGCAGTGGTTGGGGGTGCAGCTGCCCGGAAAGTCACTTGGGGTGCAAGAGTACCCATTCCCGTATTGCTTGTTAACTTTAATCTGAGCTCACAGTCACTGCAAGTTGGTAAAAGGGATAATTGATTTTATAATCTTTATCAAATAAAAAAAATCAAACAAGATATAACAGACTGAAAAGAAGTTCACAAAATGATCAGGAGGTTCATACACGATTCTCACTGCATCTATGAAACAAGGTAAAATGATCCCGTCCCTTGTATACCTTGCGGTTAGACTATGAAATGATGCAGCAAGATTGAAGGGCAGGAGGTGCGGGTGGTCTGGGGACACAGTGTAGCGAGCTATAGTCACTTCGTGTCCTGGGGATGTTATCACGCTCAGCTGACGACCTGTTTCTCCACCAGCTACCTCTACTCCAGTGCCAAATTCTACCTCTGACATCCTGGCTCCAGTGCTGAATCCTGATGAACAGAGAGTCAAGATCCTGAGATAGGCACATACTTGTCAGTTAAAAATAAACAAAAAGACTTACTTGGAGGCAAAAAGTGTACAAGAATACTTTACCTTCTAATGGTGTTGTACAAAGAGGAGAGTTTAGGGTGATGGTAAGCAAAGGGTTTCCTGCAAGAAAGCAGCGGGCTATTATAGATCCTGTCACTTCTGCACGAATCACTGTCCCATTTGATGCTACGGAAGCCCAAACCTTTTCGACAACATCCACATAAAGCTGTAGAGAATATCACAAAGAAAGGATACTGGTTAACCCAATGTTAATTTGTGCTTAACTGACCATCATAAGAAACTAGCAACATACATTTATCTGTCATTTCCCATTTTAGGTTACAATTACTTAGGTTACAAATACTAATTTATCAATACATTTGATTTATATTTCACATCAACTTACCTCCCTTTTACTATTATCTACTGCCAAAGCTGACTGTTGTGCAGCAGTACAAGGAGCAGACTTCTCCATGCCAAACTGTAAAAGAATGCAATTCTGTTAAAAGTAGTAATCACAAAAATTATAAAGGAAAATACATAGAGTACATATTTTTCTTAAGCATATGTAAACATAAATAACTAGTTTTTTCACTGAATCATATATTACAAATGATGAGTTTTCACTATATTTCTTGGAGGGTTACTGTATGAGAGAACTCAAAGACACTTGAAGTCTCTCGGTCAAAATATACTTTGATACAGAAATTAAGATCAAGATGATAATGAAAAAGAAGATAAAGATATGAAAACTTAAAAGTAACTCTCATACCAGTCCAGGTGCTGCTGTCATGACAGAACTCTCTTTGGCAGTCACAACACTACTGTAAATGTGTGACTGTAGTTTATCTGCTGCCTGCATTTGTAGAAACCCTCCATTCTGTAAACATAAATTGTATATCAACTAATATAAAAAGTAATGTTAATATATGAATCACCCAAATTAACTCCTAATCATCCTACAGGTGCATGTTAGATGATCTCAGGGTTGGGTAATTAATGAAATTAATGAAATAATGAAATTCATAATTCTTGTAGAAGGATGGCAGAATGTCAAATCATTTTAACTATACAGCTGGATTGTCTGTGTGCAATTTACCAAAGGATTTGCCCTCTGAAATAAATTCTGCAGCAAGTATTACTTTTTTTCTATTTGGCTGTGGTAGCAAACACACAAAAGTTCATCCCTTCATCCCTAGCATTACAAACAAGGATCACTTTCCTGACATAAACTACTACCACAGAATTGAGCAGGATAAAAAAAACCAATGAATGAATGGTTTGCAAGGAAATTCAGTCACAAATAATGCATGCACTGAAAAGAATAAGACCTATTAGTGAGTGATACATAAGGCTTTCACATAAACCTTACTTACCATAGTTTCCTGTACTACTTCAGCAATGAGTGTTAAATTAGATGTGATACTGTGCTGTGTTATTGTCCCACACAGGGTAGAACATACTCGATGAAGTTGGCACAAACTGTCAGTTATGAGCATATGTCCACACTGCTTGGTCAGTCTCCCACTGCCCATGATGCAAGCCCAGTAAAGGTCATCCCGGAAAATATACACATAGTTGTGTTCGTCTTTTGTCTGAAAAATCAAAGAAAAATCAAACTTTTTCTCTCTCCAGAAAAATCCTAATATATTCATCCTCACCGTATCTTTAACTGCAAAATGAGCAAAGAGCAATGCCAAAAAACTGCATAATTTAATTAAAAACACTTACTTACAAAGGCAGGAGGGGGATCTCCGTGTGGAGATGATGAGATCTCTGACAGGAATGGGTAGAAGGCATCTTTGGTCACACTGGGCTCAACTGAGTAATACCAATTAAGGAAAACTTTGCAAGATGAAAGCCCTTGATATGATAATACATGTAACTATCAGAGCTTCATAGGAAGCATATGTGTTCATTATTCACAACAAATGACCAATTTACACCACATTAATGTCCTGTTCTTACTAATCACTAATTACCACAGACAGCAGCTAGTAATATCATTCATTACTTTGTGACTATGGATCTTTGTGAATCTGATATTTCATCAAAACCTATATTTATACATATCAATTAATCCCTATGATCCAGGTGATGTGGCCATCATGTCATGAAAAAAAAAATTGGTTTGAGGCTAGTTATATGAGCATGCCATCATGGAAAATTTTGGCTATGGGATGGGGTGATCTGAATATGCCATAATGAGAATTTCAGCTGAAGGCTTGGGTGGTAGCAATGACTCGCCAAGAGTGCACAAAGCTATTAGATGGTAATTAGACTCAGTGGGCATTTAGGAATGAACTTTTGCATTATCATACTTGGTAAGTGAATGTGGAATGTACCATCCATGAATGAAAGAGTGCTGGTTCCAGGGAGAACACTATTCCTATACTCAGGAGCCTATTCCTGCATGCTGTCAATGGTGGCACAGGTTGTATTACAGAAAACTGAATATTACAAAAAAAGAAAAGAAAAGAAAAAGAAAAAAACAGATACAAATAACAAAATGTTACTGATTGTTATTATAACTGCACTGGAGTCTGTTCACGAAAAACAGTCTATTGCCATGTGGATGCAGCATACCAAATAACAAATGTAGACATTGGAAAAAAGCAAAAAAGTAAAGCATGGTTACACAGGAAAAGAAATAAAAACATAGCAAAGGAGAAGCAAGGAGTCTTGACATTGCAAATGAGTGTTTGTGTGTGGCTAGCCTAAGAGACTCACACCCGAGAGTGGCCGCTCAATAAAGCCTAAGTATGCACATCTGCGCAGTGAAGCACTTGGATTCAAAGGATTGAGTTATCTCTCTATTAACAATTTACTGTGGCTAATTACTTGATTCAACACAATACTATGTAACCTTTAGCTATATCTGATCTTTCATTATTTCTTTTTGGAGTTAATAGTGTATGATTTTGATTAAATAGAAGTATTGGTATTGATTACTCTACTTTTAATATTATAAATTCTATGCAAGAGGGACTGAGAAGACTGTGAATAAAAACTTCTTTTACGCCACCTACTTTTCAAAGTTTATGCTGGAAAAGGGCATTACTAATTTAATTTTTACACACAAGAATTCAGGTAATTATTCAGAAAAGCCAAGTGATTAACAACTCTATTACAATATACAAATTATGATGTCTACTCCCATGTTACAGTTTTAGTACATGAAGCAACTAATTGCACTAACATTAGTGGTAATCAATATTCCATGGTAACCAATTGCTGTGGTAAAGGCCAACAAACATACATCATAAATATTTTAGTAAGTCAGAGCTTGTAGACCTGTTTGGTAACTTACTGTTATATAAGAAATAAAGACGAACTCTACCTTGCCGAAATAAACATGCAGGTTTATTGATCTTTGCTAAAGCGCTGAGAGGCATATAGGCTCCACCATGACATTATATCTTGTACCTCTAATTACTGGCCTACTTACATAATATTAGCCAAATTCATATCTGTTAATATTTCTTTATTCATAATAATTGCCAATATTGTCACTGAAGATGGTTATTGCAAACTAAAGCTCCCATACCCGAACAATACACATTTAATGCAATCCACGGTAAATCTTTACAGTACAGACACAGCTGCCAGAGACTAAGTCCCTAACTTCAATTCACAAACTTTATTAAACAATCTAAATTGCCATAGTGGGGCAATTTAGATTATGCACTGACCAAGGGGAGGGTTGATGAGGGGCTCTGCCTCCCCCACCTCCCTGGCAAACACTGTCTTCTCCTTGGCATGGGCAGCAAAATAAGAGCTAAAACAAAGGAGAACTGATTGGAGTACCAATAACTAAAACTATTTGTACTCTATAGAATATCATCTTCAATATACCATAGCTTAGTCCATGCCATAAAGGGTAATTTTTTAGTTTCACACAGCCATCCAATCTTCCATTTTTTATTCCTTCTTTCAATTATTCACTCTGTAATGTGCATGAATTTCTTATTATTTTCCATCACAAATTATATAAATGAAAGTATTGGTAATGTTTATGAAGTGACCTTACCCCTCTGAGATTAAGCCCTTTTACTCCAACCATTCCTGGTAAGTCCACAGACATCGCTGTATGAACCGAAATCCTTCCTAACCCAAGGACTTCACCCCTAGACACCCATCCGATCACCATATTTCCCTATTTGGGACTCTGCCCTGGACCCCCACCCAGTTGTGGAGTTACAGCCTGCATGGCATGGGTTGCGACCTGTTTTCTTAATTTTTGACATTTTTTGCCGACGCAGATTATTTCATATTTATATGAGTGTATTTTCTCTTTGATTATTATAGTGCCATTACATTTTCCAGTAAATGTGTACCAAAGTATTACATGTTGCACCATTTTTTTTATTATCAACTGGCTAAGGTAATACCATAGATGAAAAGTGTCTGATTTTCAGCCATAATGTCCATTAAAGGTAAATTTTATCTTGTACTGCATGGCTGTGGGAAACTAAAACTATACCCCATAAAGATTAACCTACTCCATTCTACACTAAACCCAAATCCGTTTGTTTGGGTGATGTGCAACCATTATAAAGGAAATGTAAAACAATAGGTCACATGAATGAATCGAAATGATACAAAAAACATTAATAAGAATAATCACCGCAAGTCCAGTCACAGAACTAATCAGTTACCTACAATTAATCTTACAAATTACCTTATCTCGGTCTTTAGCCTGTAAGAAAATAGGCTGGTATAGCGTGCAACTTGCATATCATTCAACAACATCCACAGCACAGTTTATCTACCCTGTAAGCCGACAATCCATTGGCTTCGTAAAAGGATACAAGTTGAGATAAAGAGAATTTCTCCTCGCTTGTTGGATATAGAGAAAGCCTTCAGCATTTTGGCACTTTGGGGCGACAGACTTGTCAATTGTTGATGATCACCATGAATAAAGGGCGAAAAGGAACTTCGCAGATGCTACGTAAAGCGAGTTGAATGTGATTTCATAAGCTCTGGTACTCTTATGCGTCTCCTGCGATCGCATTTTGTTTTATTTCTCGCCATAATTTCCGCGTCTATACATGTAAACAAAGCAGTAGGGGCTGTTCTATTCGCCTCCCTTTAAATGGCACTTCATTCTATGCAATTCCTTAGAACGGTCATTTCGCAACATCCATTCTATTCACGTGACGAAACCTGCCCTTGCGCAATACGCAAGCAAAAGGGTGAAAAGCAATCTGGTTACTGACAGTGAAGAAAAGTAACTAAGTATATATAATGTTGTAAAGGATATACCCTCTTTCACCTTTCGGATTCAGTGCCTTTAATTCAATAGCAGGTAAATCTCTGCCTAATGACCTTTCCGTAAGTAGATTCAAGACATATAGGGATCCTTCTCGAACATACGTAAGCCCTTCCCCTCCGGATGGGCGGCGGGCTGTGTAAGGAGCAGGGGCGCTGGTGCCATGTGGCATCGCGCAGGCTAAGTTTAGTTCGGGACGCGCTGGCGAGGCTCTGGGTGGCGAGCGCCGGCCGGGTCACTGCAGCCCGCAAGTTGGTGGGGGACTGGCGACCGCTGCAGCAAAAGTTGTGCCTCGTGAATAAGTCAGTTACCAACTAACCAATTGCAGCCATGGAATAAGGCTGCAGGATCAACCTACCCCCTACGTCGTGCTATGAACTAAACCAGTGTAAAAGTGTATTTTTGTTATAGTTTTTTTGTCACTGTGAATAAAGCGACATAATGGCAGACAGTGAAGGGTCTTCCGAACAAGATGATGTTTCGTTCCTCCGTACGGTAAGTACTGTTCTTTTACTCGCTAGTACATAAGTCTTGATCATTTTCATTAAGTAGCTGTGAGTAATAACGAAATTACCGAATAGACAGGGTGATTTGGAATCATCATCCGGAGTCGAGGGTTGCCCACATTCAAACATTCCCGTGCGAATAGTACATTTCATACCTAATGTGAAAATTAGAAACAAAAAGTATAAAATCAGACTTGAAGAAAAAAAAAAGAGCATTCTCGTTGAGGACAAGAGAAGAGTGCAAAAGATAGCTGAGA